CTTAAGATTCTACATAAAATGCTAAAAGTATAAAATTGGATCGCAACTACTCCAACTAAAAATTAATAGGTGTAAAGTTGGTAAACATAGTAAATATTATAATTTTCGTATAGGTATTAAAGTGTCATAATTGACCAAGGCTACACGCACGAATAAGTGTATATAATTAAATAAGAATGCAATGGCTTGAATTGAAATGTATTTTATGACTCTCCTATTGTGCACTAAATTGACGCTGGATATATTCCAAGAATATTCATAAACTTAAGCATATACATATTCATATAGTTACATAATTATAAAACATCTTGATAAGGCACTCAGCGTCGGAGTTTAATCCTAAAAACTTAAGACAAAAGCAGTTTTTGTAAAAAATAAGGCCTACTAAGAGCAGACTTTATAGTAAAAACTGCAAACTGAAACCGTAATTAAGTCCCAAATGTATGGTTATAAATTTCGGCAAGAAACTCGGATGCTTTCACATTTCGTTGCTTGCTACAAAGCTATTAAACACACTAGAACACAAATTCAGTAATTCTCAACAAGTCTCTAATGTCGATTTCATGAGATAAAGTAATATTCGATTTCATTAAAGTAGTGATACCTTTAGTTTTAGAATTCAAGAATCAACTCCATTTTTATTTCTGCTTCTTCAAAATCTAAATAATGAGTCTACAGAAGATTATGACCAAATGCTTCTATGTACATACATATATCAAGATCTATATAATGTACTGAGCGCCAGCCCGAACGAAATTTGCGTCACAAATATGGTAGGATTCTGATCAAAATCAGAATAAAAATATTTTTATACCCTTTTATGCTATAAAAAATGCCACTGCGAAGTATATTATAACTTCAGGCGAAGTTAACAGTGATGTTAGCGGCTGTTTCCTGTTAATTTCTTCCTAAAACCGAAAATGATAGTAAAATTTCCTAACAAATAGGATTTTTTATATTGTAGTCAAGGGGTGTAGAGAACACCCCTCTACCTTTTACTAAAGAAAAAAATTTTAATGCAAATTCGTAATCAGGACTTCTCGAATACCCTATAGAATTTTACCATCTGCAGATTAATCGCATTTTTATCAGGTTTGTTGAGTAGTGTATTATATTTATAAAATGTGATACAAATTAAAAATGGAAATATTATTTAGCAAAATTTTGTGGTGCATGTGCGAATTCAACGTCAACACTAAAGTTTTTATCAAATATACATATGTATAAGGGCAGTTTTAAAATTTATAAGGAGCAATGAAATAATAAGTAAAAAACAGTGGTAAGATTAAAATATATATTTTTAAATCATATACTATTTAGTACTCAAAAACCAATTGTAAATATGAAAAGTAGTGTAAGTATCCGCATACTGTTAATCGTCCGAACACTTTACATGTAAGGATTGTGATTCCTCAACATGCTAAGGCAGCCGTTCAAACAATGAAAAATGAGAGAAAACCAGTTTTGACTCCAAGATTAAAAAAAAGACACATGCTCATATCAACTCACAAGTTGCACTTTAAGTCGGGAAAGTGTGCACGAGAGTGTGCATGTATATTATGTGTTTACAGACAGTGTTGTCACGAGTGACTAATACCAAAAAATTTTTTTTTGGTTGGTTAGACATTGTACAGCTAATATTGTATAAGTACGAAAATTTGGCCATGCAAATGTATAGGTTTATACTTAGCAACACAGTCCTACTTGCATAAGACGAAAAAGTGCTCAGCGTTTGTTGTTTTGGTATTTCAAATAATTGCATAGCTTTTGGATAAATCACCAAATTTATTTCAATTTCATATACTTAATAAATAGTAAAAAAATAATGGTTTCGCCCTTATCGTAGTTGGAAAAGAAATTCTGCGTGCAAGGTCAGAGTCAATGACGGGCGCCGCGAATCGGGGAGCCCCGCGCTCCAATTGACCGTAATTAAAAAAATATCAATTTAGATTGAGCGTAAAGTATCTTTGCACGCTTAGGCTATACTTCACTTCAACCTCTAAAACTCGATTTCGTTACGTTAAATAGTAAAAATATGTAGGTATTTTACGAACTTCTTAACTTTAATGTTTAATTATAAACATTATAATCGAAGATTTAGACTAGTATCTATCCTAGGTAATCGTCAAGATTTTTATTTTTTTATTAACATCCATTATTTTAAATTTAAATAAATATTTTCATTAAATAAAATAAAAAGAAAATTATTATCGAATATCACTAGATTTTTTATGCTTCATGGCCGTCAAAAAGAAAATAAGTGTAATTATTAAATTTTTACTATATTTTATTGAAAATAATTGTATAGCGATATTCTTGTGACCTTCCATTTTTTAAGTAACTTTTATTAAATAATTTTTTAGAATAGTGTTCTCAACCTTAAAATTTGCTTTGCGAATTTGCTTATCTCTCTTGATTACTAACTGCAATGGCGAACGTTCTTTTTCAGCGTTAAAACGTATTAAATGTTAATTAAGAACACGATGGGTAATAATGCTGAATATAGAGCATGACTTGCTTAATGAAGTCGATATTAAAAGAATTATCTCTAAATTTGCAGATAATAAATCCAGAAAACTTTATATGCAACAATTTTGTTTTATTTAGTACCCTAAACTTGAGAACCTATAGGAAACCAAGGGCCCCTTGACAGAATTTGCTACAGTCCCCGCGGTAGTTTAACCCGGCACTGACCGTAGAAGTTGAGTTTTACTCAATATTTAAGTAGCATAAGTATAAAACTTTAACTCGGGCATTAATTTTTATTCTTATTATTTATACAGCATTAGAAATCCATACTGAGGAACTAGTGGAAAAAATTATACCTGATATATTCCTATTTACATAATATATTGTATAATATTTACTTATAAGAAAAGAGAAATAAGAAAAATTTCAATCGGTGTATTTGGCTGGCGACGCACACACTCTCGCAAAAAATTTATTTGATTTTATGAATCATTTACTTTGTTACTGTATTAACTAAATGCCACAAATCAGTTAGAAGACAGACACACTCTCAACGGTTCTTAACACGGTTACGTATGGGTATGTGGATAATGTATGGGGATTTGTTTAACGCAAATATTCGTCGAAAACCAATTATTTGCAAACTTTTACCACATAAACTTGTATAAATTATTAAGGGGTTACACGGGTTTCTTTGGGCAAAAAATGAAATATTTTAATGATTTTTTTTTTGTATTTAAAAGACTCATATTTAATATTTTGTAAAGACGTTTTTATAAAAAAATGCAAATTTCGATGAAAATTTCTCGAAATTTTTTTTTTGAAATAGTGTTAATTAAAAAAAATCCTTCGTTCAAGACCTTGTAAATGATATCTCGAAGACCTGTGTAAAATTTCATCAAGATCGGTTAAGTAGTTCGCGAAAAATCTTGACAACCGACTTTGAAAAAATAGTTTTGAGAAAAACGCGTTTAAAGTTTTATCTACTGCGCCCTCAGCTTATACCTGACTTTTCAAGGTTGTATCTCCGAAACTATTAGTCAGATCAACTTGAAAATTTAGAACAATATTCTAGAGATGTTATAGAATTTAACAAAACAAAAAAATTTTTTTTGAATCTGTGAAACCCATGTAACCCCTTAAAACATTCAAGATTTTTTGAATAATACAAATAATAAGGGTGTGGTTGTTTTTTATTTTGGGCTAAAACAAGTCTATGATGGGTGACTGGTGCATAATTTTTTTTACTTATCGATACCGGTTAGACTTCTATATAGTACATTAATTGCTTTCTAAGTTTTTAATTGATGTCTAGTTTTATTTTTTGTTTCAAATCAATATTCAACAATAACTAGAACCTGTACAAATTATCCATTGAAAACTCGAACGAGGTATGTACATATGTATGTACATATATTAAGAAATATTTACGTAAAAAAGAAAGCATTACAATATAGAAAACCGCTGATGATGTGTATATTGTCTGCGAGTATATCGAATTTTCCAATTAAATGAAATTATTGTGATTGCTAAGACAAAATTTATGTCTACCAGAAATAAAGCGAGACAGTTTTTAATTCCCTTAGAGCCATGTCATTTACTTAAGTACATAAATATGTATGTATGTATGCAAAGAACGGGAAAACTTTGGAATACCGTCCCAGGATATCAGTGGTAAAATAGATATGGGTAAATAAAATATAAATGTAAAATACATTATAAATTGAAAAATATGTACTTTAAATAGTTGACATTGTCAACTTTAAACGCATATATCTCTAAAGCTGTAAATTTCTCGCTATGTAATTTTTTTCCCATACCAAAGAACAGATATTTTGTTCACTAAAAGTGTAACGAACTAAGATTTCAACTTTTAAAGATTACAACGTATTATTTATTGGAAGAAAATGCTTCCAGCATTTCAAATATCCTTAGCAACTTTTCACGCACCATTTCTCGCTGGTTTAATTACATTTGTATACAAATGTATGTATGTAGGTACGTATGTATGTATGTATGATATGTACGAAGGTAAGAATATTACAATAATACATACATATATATACATATGTATATGTACATATGCAATCTCGCATTTGCGTACCATTACCGCGGTTTTTCGCATGCAATTCAAAGTAACCGGCGAATTTATGCAGCCACAATCAATGAAGATACAAATGAAATGGGCATACATCACCGCACACCTATATTTAGACACAAATTGAGTCATAAACACATTCGTCCAAATAACTGAGTTTGTAACAATGTTGATATGTAAGTATGTATACGTTGTTGTACCGTTGGCTTTAACAGGTTGTTTTTGCGACTTTGAAATGAGCACACACTAAATTAACACATCCTACTACGAATTAGGTTTGTGTGTACACGCTATTGTAGGTATTTGTGTGCACAGTTTATATAAAATATTTACTTCATCGTGCAGATTGTTTCGATTACCCCGCATATACATAAGGCTAAACCGATTTATCACCGAGTAATTGGCGGCCGAATACTGTTTCGTGGAGACTTACCGCAGAGCAGTATGAACACATCCAATGCCACACGATATAAAACGCGTTTGTTGTGATCCATTTTGATTATTTTCGAAGTGTGCTCGTTCGATGATTCCCACGTGAACCCAGCACCAAGGCGTACTTCAACGTTGTTGTTATTTAAATTTGCGATTGTCACTATGGTTGATGGGGTAACATTAGTGTTGCTGTGATAGCCGTTGTTGCAGCTGCAATTAATGCCACCAATATCGTTGCAATTGTGATTCGGATTTTGATAGCTATTTTCCACGTCACGCGATTTTACCAACAACAAAGAAGACGACGACACGTCTGCACTATTTTGCCTTTCTGGCCGACGCAGCGGTGTTGCCTCAATAGCAGCTGATTCGTTACTCATTTCATTGGCAGTTGTGTAGTACTTTAAAATAGCTATGGACGGACATCCAACGTTACCGACGCGATGTTGACTCTCTGCTTATATCATCGATGGGAGAATATGCTACGAAAAAGCTCACTCCAAGCTAGTCTGCGCCGCGTTTTCTTATCCAATACTCAAATCGCACGCAAACAGTGAAGGAATTTAGAGAGCAAGAGCAATAACGAACGCGTCTTTTGGAAAGCTTGAGTACACTAAAAACCAATGAGATATCCGAAAGCGAACACGTTTTTCACTTTATACATAGTATACCATACAAATGTTTAATGCTTATTAATTTCGTTTTGACAACGATTGCTCTTGTTGTTTATTCCATCGCATACTATGTTAACTCACACTAAGATTTACTCAGAGTTTGGACCTTTTCAGGTTTTTTTTAGTTTACATTTTTTCTTTCTACTCTCTAAGAAATCACCTCCGGAAATGTATATTTGAGCGTCCGAACTGTATTTAAGTTAGAACGAATATAACGTTTCAATTACAAAATTATGCGATTTTCCAATACATATTCTGCAAAGAGAGTAAAATATGTTCAATGTTATTATTAATTATTATGTGTACGTAAAGTAGACTATATACCAATTCGCTCAATTTACAGATTGTGTTAGATATACATACATATAATATTATATAAAAAAAAAAAAAACATTAGGATGCCAAAGTGTGTGCTAAGGCAAATCCCTAAAAGAATCAGAAATTGGCTGGGATTATTGTGGTGCACTTCCCGGCTAAAGGAGGAATGTTAAAGTTTTTGGCTTGCGAAGCCTCTGACCTTAAAGAGTTTCTTATACAACCAATCAGGCCCTTATAAAGATATAAGTCCCAATTTTGGATAAATCGGCACTTTTATAAGGTAACATATTCGATATTTAAGCAAACCTTCCATATAAGCACTTTCTGAAACATATGTATACTTATCGCCTGATACACACTAATATCATACTTATAATATACCTCATATTCGATATACCATATGTAGCGTTCGAGGCCCTTGGCCTTCACATTGTGTCTGTACGACCCACAAGCCGGTCGTCAAGACGATATTATTGATTTGTCAGAGTTTTATATATATGTATATGTATATTAATATATGTATGTATTTATATATACATACATAAATTATATTGTTAACGCCCCTTCTGGTTGGTAGATAAACAATTAAAATGTGCGAAAATATATGCATATACATACACACATACACAAATAAAATGTAAACAATAAACCGAAGTTACAATTGCGAGTATTTATTTGAGATCACTATTTTCAAAAATTTCAACAAGCTATTTCTGGCGCCCATATTTACAATTGAACAGCTTTTCTCCCCTCGCCATTCAGGTTGTTGACAGCGATTATACTAGCATTGCAGAAATGGGCTCGAATAAACTACCGTAACTAAATGCAGACCTACATTTGTACATATATACATCAGTATGTAACACTCCTAAGTTTCCCAACAAAATATTACAGTCTTATTTTCGACTCGACAGTAATTTTATGCCAATAACAATGACAAGCGAATTATGAAAGCTTTGTCAGAACTGATAACGAAATGTTATGATTTCATTTTGCACTGCAGCCAAAGTTAAACTCGGAATACTTATATTTTTACACAAAATCCGTATTATATTCGTTTAATTTAAACCCAAATTCTCTGCGAATTGGCGTTTTAAGTAAATATTCGGACAAGTTATGAAAGGAAAAATGTACGCACACTACTGAATAGCCATCAACGCCAGTATTAACAGCACACACAGAGCAGTGAATATAACTACAACTTACACCAATGAATATGGTTCAACAACTGAAAAACACACCCTTCAAATCAGTGCCAAGAGACAACAAGACAGTCCAACGTTGAATCGGCAATCGGTTTGTTGCGAAACATGTTGCTTAGAACGCATTAAAATTTGGTGGGTTGTTGAAAGTCGCCGGCCAAACATGTTGCAGACAGTTAGATACCTCTCTGACAAATACTTTATTGTTATTATATCCCTACGTATGTATGTGTGTGTTAGAAAATTGATGAATAAATGCAAGTTAATTAATAGATTGTAATTTATGTTATACTATATTAATTTTACGTTTTCTGCTTGTAGCTTAGTATCCAGAAATGTAAAAACTTCATATAAAAAAACGCTTAAGGTATGGTCGAGAAAATTTCATGCGGTAAATTTGCTTGTGCTAGTATGCAGCTCTAAAGAAATCTAGTACTAATTTTTAATAAATTTTTTCAATAAAATGCGATTATGGCAAACCTAGTTTTGTGAAGAAACATGAAATCAACAATTGTTTCTTGAAGGAAATCCAAAGTAATCGATATATTCATCCTAAATTAGTTAAAATCATTATTACGAAGTATATTTCATTTTGAAATGCTGAAAACTTACCAATCCTCAACAACATTCCTTAAACCTCAATGAAAGTATTTATGTTACTTCACACATATGTATGTATATACGTTAGCTTATACATATATGTATATGTATATACATACATATTACGCACAAAGTTAATTTTCTATGTTTATTCTCTTTTGCTCTTTTAATGTGGATCATTCACAATGCGTAACAAGCTGTCAAAATTACTTGAGGAAATATCGTATTTTTTTTGTGAGCAATTACTTGAGACCTGGACACGGACCTTGTGCTATGAATTCGGTCAAGAAAAAAACTAATAAATAACTTCTGCATGGAGAGCATTCCTCTACAATAGTTTTTTGTCTTATGGTTGATGATTTTGTATTTAATGGTGTGCAGTAATGCTTCTGGGTAATCAGTTGCAATTGTAGGGCTATGGCCAATGCTTACTCTTGCATGCTCGCCGCGCACCTTGGAAATGTGAGTAATCCGTGTATGAAGCGGTAGTCAACCCGAGAGGAGCCTGGGATCACGACTAAAAGAGAGGAAGCTTCATTTTTCAACATAAGGACAATATGACCGAAGATGCCTCTTATGAACGGATGGACCGCGCTTATGATGACTGCCACGAACACGATGTAAAACTTCTAATGGCGAATGAATAGATGTTCCATTACCCAACTATGATGACCTCATGGGGGACCTCACATTCTGCGCCAATTACCGTGGAATAAGTCTCCTTAAAAGAAAAGACTGAAGCCCACCTGGAAAATCTACTATAGACTAGATTTTCACAATGCGCCAAATCTTGGAAAAGACCCATGAAAGAAAGATCAACACATACCACCTCTTTGTCAATTTTAATGTTGCTATGTTTAAACTTGGTATTCTCGCAAACTAATACGGCTGTGTAAGCTAACGTTGAGCAATACTACAAACTCTGTCAGGATCGACAAGAAGCTCTCCGAGCGGAAAAGTGTATAGGTCTAGTTGTGAACGAGGACAAAACGACATATCTCCTGTTATGAAACAAACAGTCATCGCATTCGCCACTTTGGCTCTCACGTCACTGTTGACAGTCTCAACTTTGAAGTCGTAGATGATTTCATCTATTGGTATATTGCGGGTTCCAGCATAAACACCAACAACACTATACGCCTTGAAATCCAACGCAGAATCACTCTTGCCAACAGGTGCTATAGAAAAGTAAAGTCTCTCTCGTCGAACAAAGACCAAACTCTACAAGTCTCTCATCATTCCCGTCCTACTATATAGTGCGCAGGCACAGACATGATATCATCTGATAAGTCAGCCTTAGTTGTGTTCGAGAGAAAAAGGTTTTGCGGAAAATTTATAATCCATTGCGCATTGACTACGGCGAGTGTCGAATGTAAGAGGACATTCCAGGTTTGAAGATGAAGTTGAGATGGACCTGACTGCACTTGATACCTCGAATTGGCACCAAACAGTGAAAAGAAGAAACGACGGGCGCGCTGTTGTTAACTCGGCTATACGCTGTTATCTATGCCAGTAAAGATGAAGAAGTTGGTCATATATTCCGAACTTAACTTCGATTGATTCAATCCAGCTTCCTGTTTACTCGTTTACTTGTTTCGTCGTTCCGTTTTCCTATATCCTGTAACTTGACATTTTCTGAAAAATATCACATCTATTGCAAAAGTCGATATTTGAGCTTTGCGGAAGTTCGTTTAGAATCATTTGAAGTTTGAATCTATAGTAATTCAAAGTAGCAGTTGTTACTAGGAGAAATTATTCATTCGATTTTTTAATACAAATCGGTATGGCGATGTACATACATACTTGTACATACATATGTTTCTACATGCACATAATTATTCATCACCAGAGCTATTTACTGTTTCTATCTCCAAACTGCGGAACAAGCAACTGACGGTGTCGTACAATTATCCAATTAGTTGTTGTAATAAACAGATTGATTCAATTTTGTAACTATTTTTTATCGTTATATCTTTGAAATTGGAATATTCAATATCCTGCAAATGGTTGAAAGTCTGCCTTATGTATAGATCAGTGTGTGAGTTATCTTCAAATAGTTACGTTGAAACATGTTCTCGGGTATAGCAGAGTGATGTCGAAAGTTAATGGAATCAGTCAATACATTCCCTAGCCTCATTATAGCCAGCACAATGGTTTTCGACTAGCAACCTTATTTCAAACGGTTCATATCGGTCAACAAGCTGTATAAATTATGAGAGTATATAATGTTCGAGCTCATTCAAACTTAGCCCTCTTACTTGATATGAATTAAAAATTGTCTTCCCACTACTTGAAGGGAATCAAATATATCCAATAATATATTATATGTACATATGTATCAAGATAATTAAGATAATGTGCTACAGAACAGGTCAAAGATGAAACGCTTGGCAAAGCGATGAACGACAACGGCAACAACAACAAATACTTACTTCCAGACCCAAACTTTCAATGCAGTACACACGTGCCAATTAAACCAGGTCAGATGTCTGTCATCGATCACCGTATAACTAAGATTTATCCATATGAGAAAACTTTATTGCATAGTCTTTTTACGTAGCGTTCTTTTTCGATAATTTTTAAACTTGGAAATTCTTTTTATGAACTTCGAAAAGCCTAAGTTGACCCCAGCAAAGTAAAACGAATGTATCGCTGTTAATTTTATTTGATTTATTTTATGTAAAAGTATATATGTAAGTATGTATTAAAATAAATTATTTTGCAAATGTTAGGGATTTCTAGTTCCGCAGGCTGTGATGATGGTTCCATCGGAGGTGAGTATTTGAATCTTTGGTCACCACATTGTTCGTATCTAGAAAGAGCTTAACGTGTTTAGGTAATGCGACAATATCGTTCTTGTTGCGGAAACGTACCAACACAATAGCGTAAAACGCCCCAATCGCAGATCCCGCAAGTACATCCGTTGTATGGTGCTGGTTATCGGAGATACGTGTTAACCCCGTATACCAAGCGAACATAAGAAGTAAAAATTGAATGAAGTGCTTCACCATTTTGCACCGTTCCCAAGTCATACGTTTTTCTAAATAAACCTATCAACATACATAAAGATACAAATATCATAAGGAACTCAATTTTACCGCCGATGCATTTTACCGTAATGTATACCATAGCGAAGCAGGCGAAGCTCGAATGACCGCTGGGAAAAGATAAGCTCATTTGCTTAAGCATACGGGGCGTGGCATTGCCAGTGCAAATGAATTCCTCAATATAACGGTCAGCATTTACACTGTCATTGCAAGTACTACCATCCGTCATGGCGGGTTGACAAACCTGACAATAAAAGCATAGGCATACCAATAAGTCACTTGAATGAATTGTTAATTTTTATTAGATTATAAGAGACAATTAGTAATTGTTTTTATACTCTTGCAACTAGCTATAGTTTGAATAAAACTTTAGACATTTTGATGAAACTTGGTATGCGAGTTTCTTAATAAAAAAAAAAAAAAAAAAATACGAGTTCGCTGATGGGCCTAATCGAACCACTGCCACGCCCACAAATCGTCGTTAACCGAAAACCTTTACTAAGCACTAAATTAAAATATAAAACTGTAATTTGCTACAAGTAATCGCAGTAGCAACTGTGGACAGGACATTTTTTAAAAGTAGGCGTGTACCCGCCCTCTTATAAGTTCAATGTACATATCTCCAAAACTACTATAGCTATGACAACCAGATTTACTGAGCGCAAATATTATATACATAACTCTTACCGGACTTGTGTATGATATGATTATCTTTATATATAAAAATTACGTGCCCCGTTGTTTATCCGCGATGGACTCCTAAACTACTGAACCGATTTTAGCAAAATTTAGCACACTATGTAACGTTTGAAGCAACTTGGAAGATAGGATAGTCAAAGCTATTTATAAATAAGAAATACAGCGAAAGCTTCTTTTAAGAGAACATATCCCTTAACATATTGAGAGGTCTTGGTAAACTTAACCAAGTTTCCTTCTTTCGGTAAAAAATCTTTTTTAACTAGATCTGACAGATGCTATTAACCCAACTGTTAAAATATTTATTAGTGTGAACATATCAAAATTAAATCTCAAGAATAATTCCCTGGATTCTTATACCAACAAAAACGTTTTCACCTTTATTCGTAAATGAAAATTTGTCTGTATTAAATAGTTTATTATATGAATAATAGTGTGAAATGTAACCAAAGCAACGCGTGGCCGGAACCACTAGTGTATATATAAAATTGCTTAGATCCCAACCCTTAAGGTATTTACGATATTTCCCCAGCGTTGCTTTTTGCAAGTTGCAAGAGTATAAAATGTTCGGTTGCACCCGAACATAACCTTTTCTTACTTGTAAAAATACTCTCGTTTTTTTGCATAGAAAAGTAAACAGCGTTCTGTAAAGTTAAAATCTATGTACATAAGCTGAATTAATATTGATTCTAGTATTTTGGCTACATTTCTGTGGACTTCTGGACCTCACTTACTCTTCTAGGTATGTATTCTCCAACATTTTTTGTAAACTATGTAGAGATTTTGTTCCATTATTCAACCAAATCCTTATTTAGGTCGTCATTGCTTGAAATTCCCTTCTGCATGATTTTTCGGTCAAGGTGCTCCTACAGATGCTCGATAGGATTAATGTCTGGGGCCTGTAGAGGGATATCCACATTTTTGGTGTTCGATATAACAGCCACTCACTAACAATTTAGGACTTGTGTTTAGGATCATTGTCCTGTTGAAAGATCCAGTATCCTGATAGGACTAATTTTTCAATGCTTTGAGCAACGTTATTTTTTAAAATGTTGAAATAATCCAATTTTTTAATCGTGGATTCGTGAATAGTGAAGCCTTTATTTTTGGATCAACAAATTTTAGTAGGTTTTTTCGATTCAAATATTTTGAATTTGCTTTCTTCCGTATAAAAAATGTTTTCTCAGAAGTTTTCAGCCTGATTTGTATTCTTTTTCTGCAAACTCAAAGTACACGTGCTCTTAATTGTACTGATGCTTACTGACTTACCCGAAGTCTCCGCTATATCTTTTGAACCTGGATTTGTTTTTAATTTCGGTACTATTTATTGCGCTTCAGTGTCAGTAAGGCGCTCTGGTCGGCCCTTTCGTGACAAACTTTTAACAGTCTTATGTTTACCATGTTTATCAATAATTTTTTTTTTTTGTTGTGTAGTAGTGTTTTCCAACTATTTCACTGATCGCGCAAAAATTTACCTTTCTTATGCAAATCTAATATCTTTTACTACACTTGAATAGTAACGGTTTCCAAAGGATATTTGGCGCTTCGCCGAAATAGCTATTAAAAACAAACAACGGTTATTGCCACCGTTTACTTTTTTTGACCCGAAAAACGAGAGCATTTTTAGTTTAAGTGAATTATTTTTGGTTGTGTTTAGTTTTTATCTATTATTAATGCTAAGTTAAACTCTTATATAATAAGCCTTGAATTCTATAATAAAACTTTTTATTATTGTATTAAAAACTGCGTTGTAATAAACACTTTAATATTGATAGAATTGCTATTAACTGTATATTCAGTTGAAATTAGGAAGAAAGAGACAAACTAAGTACTACTAATAGAGGAAACCGCAAATTTTTGCCTGGTCCGAGCAAAGCTAAGTGCGCTGCTGGGAATATGTGGTAGTCATGAAAATGATATAACGTGCATTTATAGAAATTGTGTTTTGTACATACATACATAGATACAGTAGTAATACTTATACATATGTACATATATAAGAAATTTATGTAGTACTTCTATTTGAATATACATATGCTATTATGTTCACTGAAACCTTGAAAAATTCCGCTTCATTTGAAAATTAAGCGCGACGCAACTTATACGTACTGCAAAGAAATGTGGCCGTAAACGTCCAATTGAATACTTAGCAATATCCATAGTCAATTGACCCACTCCGGATCCAAAAATTAATAGTCCAATTTTTTTGTAACTCTCCACGATCCAGTCAGCGATTTCCAACCCACAAAAAAAGTAACGCTGGAAGGTCACATTACAGAGTCCATGGGTTCTATTGTAGTGGGAGAGAAAAAACTCGACTGTGGTGATCTAAAATAAAAAGTTATTACTATAATTTATGTGAATATATGTTTTCAATGAGACATTTTTTGACGGCGCCACATGCTTTATATCGATCGTCATGCTTTAAATTCTAATTTTATATTAATAATTCCCAATGGCAGAGAATGTTAATTAACCTTTATATAGAAGTACCATATTTCATTTAAATTCTTAGAAGTATACTATACTCGTCTATAAATACAAACGGCCTTTTCGAGCACAACTTCATATGTGGGTATTAAGCACGTCTAAAAACTAAAAACAAACACGTATGGAAGAGCTAAGGTCGGGTAAAACCGAAAATTTTATAGTCTGGAAACTTGCAAGAATCAAAGCTAGGAAAATGCTTTAAGGTTTATGTGTGTCTAAGCAATTCTCTATATTGCATACTCTATATAATTCATACACTGACCGACATATTCGGTACAAGGTTTGTTTGAAAAACGAAAATTATTATACATACATATGTACTATATGGGAGATGAGGTACTATCGACCAGATTTTATCTATTTTTCCCAATACAACCTACTATTAACACGCAACATACTCGAAATCCAATCATATGGAGCAAAGTCAGTCGAATGTTCGAAAATATGTCGTCACCTGAAATGCAAAATAACGTATCATCAAAAAATTCGAAATTGAGTGTCTTATTGATTACGCTTTACTACTTCAAATTATAGACATAATATTACATATGTTCAACAGTTTTAGGTAATGCGATCAGATATAAATCAGTGTTAACCAATATTAAAATTTTGTTTCACTCATGGTCCATTTTATTTCGTGTTGCATTCATGCCACTGTAAATTTCCGAAAATGTTGTTACGTTATTTTGCATTTCAGGTGACTATATATAAAAGAAAGTCGTGTTAGTTACACCATTTATAACTCAAGAACGGTTTAACGCATTTGACTGAAAATTGGTAGGGAGGTGGTGTAGAACCAGGAAAAAAATAACAAAAACAATACAAAAACCTCACATCTATATATATAAAAGAAAGTTGTGTTAGTTACACCTATTTCAAGAACGGCTGAACCGATTTGACTGAAAAAATAATAATTGCAAAATTCATGTTTGTAGGTATCATTTGAATATATGCGTACAATTTTAATTAGATCCTTCCTCAAAAATAGTACTAAGTTGCTAAGTATTTGGAATAGTAGAAAAGATGCAACCGTATAGACGTTGAGTATGCACGTGCATCAAAAAAGACTGATTTTATAACCTTTCCAGCCGCCTTTTTCGTCTTTCCACGCCTGAGAATCGGTTCATCATGTGCAGTCCAGTAGAATGACTGTTTCTATCAGTAACGCAAAAATTTGGCTTTATTCCGATTAGAGAGCACTTAAACACTTCTCAGAATCAGTTACTCGTTGTTTTTGTTGGATTATGACCTTGCGAGGCATCTACTTTGCTCATTTCGCCTGAGAAGCGTGGACGGTTCGTCTAGTCTTCTATAATGGGGTAGCTTGCTTTAGAAGCTTCAAAAATCGATTTTTTTTGCTTATATCTCTCTAAAAATTATCTAAGAATATGTCCCCAAAATTATAGATGAGAATTCGTAATATTGTCAAAGATAGAAGGGAAATAGTGGCAGAGCGTCTGGCAGATGTTATATGTATACAAGTATGAGCGCTTGCGCAGAAAGCGAAAACTTTACGCGCGATTTCTCGGTTTCTCATTTTTACGTAATGAAACTAACCGAATCTATTTCCCTACTGTGTAATTTAATAACATGCCAAATATCATTGTAACTCATTTACAATTAAATAATCTGTACGTACAATTTTTTGAAATAAAAATTTTTCAAAACCTAAAAGTATTGAACCCTTGCAAATTGCGAGAGTATGAAATGTTCGGTTACACCCGAACTAAGCATTTCCTTACTTATTTTATTCGGTTTTAATAATTATTTCAATACTTTCGGGTTTTTCTAAAAGTAAAAATAATCCTCTAACTAACCAAATAAGTATGTATGTATGTATGTACATACATACGTGAGTTATAGACTTAGTTTATGTGTTTGTGTACTTACTAATGATATTGGAATTACGAAACACATCAGAAATAGCATCCAATTGTCCACAGTATTTTTTTTGAATGGATGTTTCAAAGATTTATCGCCACAGAAAAATCCGCGTTTATATGGTGTGCCCCAAAGATGAAATGCCAACACTGGTAATGCAACTATGTAGAAATATGATTTTTTTTTTATTTCGATTTTAAGCCAGATTTTAGACAAGTTCATACAATATAGTGTTATACACTAAGCTTCTTGTTATTTTCGTTAATTATTCCTCTGTTATTTCCACACATATTGTTTACGAATAAAAGTTTTTGAAATAATGCAAACTTCAAGCGCCAAAGAAACGTATGAGTTCGCAAAGTTGGAAGAATATTGCTCTTAAAGTTCAGTCGTAATTATCTTAAATTTTAGTAGTAAATTAAAATAGGGTGATGATATCAACTGGGCATGATCAAAAAAAAAAACACTCTTTTGGCCAGAAAATGTGTATTAATTGACCCTACCATAAACAATCAATTTTTATTGGCTCCTGTACACTAGTTGCCTTTCGATGTGGTTCCGTGGTTAATGTGGATTAACTCCGCTACTGACGAACTTAATTAAATTTTGTTAAGTTTGTTTAAAGTTGTTATTACGTAAACTATTGATGATGTGCACAAACTGATATTGCAGGTCGTCCTGTGACTTATCGTGGAATACAGACAGACATTAGTTGGACTAGTAACCATTCAATATTGCATCAAAATTTCATTGTAGAAACTTCTTTCACGATGAATTTCATACAATTTGCCCATCGCTATACAAAATGCTCGAATGGTCGAGAGAAATGTTAAAAACTCCTAATGGCCCTTTGAAACCCGTATTTGATAACGTGACAAATGATGAATCGTGGACTTATACGTACATATGAACCAGAAAGTAAACAGCAGTCGATTGTACGGGTGTATCAAAATGAGACAAAACCAACAAAAGTAGTTCGGAAATCTTCCAATGAAATGGTTACCTGTTTTCTTGAAAATTTCTGAGAAGTACACAATAATTTTTTGCCAGTTGTCTTTCAAAAAATCTGGATAACTTACCGCCGAAGACGGATCACTCTTCATCAACACAATGCTAGCTCTCACTCATCGATTGAAACTGCATTTTTGGGCACTCAAAACATCGATGTGATGAATCATCTACCGTAGAGTCCGTACTTTGGACCGAATGACTTCTATTTATTCCTATAAAAATTAAACTAAGAAGAGCCGGTTGACACGTTCAAACGGCATATTTTTGATATACCTCAATCATGCGAAAGTGTATAGATCTTATCTCGTAATATTTTGAAAAAAAAAGTGATTTTCGATGTTTAATATTTGTTTTTGTTTTCTAATCCCGAAATATATAACCAACCTATGTACCTATCTATATGTGAGCACACAGAGGTTAATATCCACATGCATAATACGAGGGTTGCCTTTATATTCCGGGATTTAAGAACAGCAATAAACGTTAAGCGGGATATTCACATGGAGACTTGTGTGCATACCGTGTCACAAGTCAGTTCACTTTGCACTTATGCTACACGTTGTTCAGACATCATTTTGTTGTAATCGTTGAAGTGAACCGACATGACCTCAGAAGAGGAAATTTTAGCGCTACTTGTAATTGCGGTGTGCGCAGAAAATGAGAAAATGTTGTTGCCACTTCGTGTTTCCTAAGGATGTCTAGATGGTGAAAGTACATAAGTGGTGCTCATATATGCACCAGCACCTGACATTTCAGATTTTTTACTTTTGCACAATTCTCAATTATAGGAATTTTGCATGCCATTAAGGGGGGAGCATTCTTTAGAGGCTTCGTAAAATCGAGTTTTTTGAGAATTTCTTTATATATTTAAACATCCTCCGAATTTTTTGATATTCTGCCGTTGGGAAGCAATTGGCAGATGCATATCGCATGTGCATTTTTATTTTAATAACGTATCTCCTAGAAAATTCCAACAAAAGTGTAAAATTCTACTTTTTTTTAATTGAAAAAAGTGGTTTCTGACCAAAAAAATAATTTACTTTATATTATTTAAAAATATGTTCAAACTTGAATTTTCTTGGTGTTTTTTAGTTTTAAAATTAAGCAAAATCGTAAAAATGCCTAATGTGACTGATGTGCGCAGAATCTTTCGTCACAAAATTTTAACAAGAATGTGATCAGTCTGTACACCGCTCTATACACGTTGCTATCCGTCGCAACAACGAACAGAAACATTGAAACATTTCAATTTTGTTCATATTTGTATGCATACTTAGAATTTGGTATATAATATATACACAATGCGACGGTAGGCAATACTTGATTTGTAGCACAAACTTATCTTCTAGTGTATATCCTGCTTTAATAAAAAGGTTTAAATATTCTCCTTTAAGATCAGTGCCGGCCAGAGACAATTTATAGCCCTGAGCAAGTGAAAAATTCTCCGCCCCTTGTAAACCTATTTTGCTCACCAATAAAATTTAACAATTTTATAATTTTTAAAAATTATTCAGGCCATTTTATTAAAAAGCTCTCATATTCCAGGTAAAACGTAATTATTTAAAAAATTAGTAGTATACGTAGTATAATAAAAACAAGTTAAGAATAATTATTTTCCAATGGAATGTGAATTTTATTTTAATGTTGGCCTCTTGGTTTATTTTTTCCGTATGGTAATAAAAAGAAGTCATGCGGTGCCAAGTGAAAACTATGCGGAGGATGAATCATTAAATCGATGTTTTGAGTGCTCAAAATACCGTTGTTTCACTCGATAAGTGAAAGTTAGTTTTATTATGATGAAGAGTGATCCGTCTTCAGCTGTTGGTTTTGCTGATTTCTTGAAAGACAACTGGCAAGCAAATTGTTGTGTACCACTAATAATTTACTGTTCTGCGTTAATCAGTTGTATGGTTGCGATAAGTCCAGTTTTTCCAAAAAAACGAGGAATCGAGGAATGTCTCGTCTGGACACACCCCTATAATCGACAGCTATTTACTTTCGGCCTATGCTTATATGCTTAATTCTACAATTCATCAGGTGTTGCGTTATAATATATACATATGTATAGGTGTTATAAACGTGTTTCGAAGCACCGCTATAGCATTTGTTTAACACTTTTCGCTCAATCAATGCACCCGACCCACTTTTTTGAGCGATTGACAAATTGTAAGGGAACATGACGATCTTGCAATATCAGTTTGCGCACAGCATCAATAGTTTACGTAATACTGATTTTGGACGTCACCATCATCACCAAAAAACTAAATTTTATATTAAAATAAAATTTTGACATTCTGTCGATTATTTGTCGTCAAAATACATATCTCATATACAACCTATTATTCAGATCTTTTAAATTTCGCGTTAAAAATTGCAGGCTCGAAACCAGTTTTACACACATACATACACAGATAATACTATTACTCTACTACTACCATCTATATGATTTCTATTAAGTATTAAAAAAATATAGAATATTTGTAAAGCAACTCGTGTTAGTATACAAAAAAATAATCATAAAGCATTTCGTGTGTTAATTAAGCATTGCATTTTGAACCGTTTTTATACAATAAAGCCTTAAATTTACACAAAAAAAAAACGGCGGAAGCAAAGTTTCAGACCTAATATATATATATATATATATGTATGTATGTATATATATATATGCATAATTATTACTCACCACAACCCAGAATGAGGAAGTCCGAAATAATGCGACAGCAAATTATACTTATACCTTTTTTAGAATCAATATTTTCTGCATTTACTGGCTCACTCGGAGCATTATCGCTCCCATTTAAGTAATCATTAAACGGCACAGACACGTTATTATTGTTGTTTTTATATTGAGAGTTACTGATTGTAATTGGCAATGGTTTTGTCGAAAAATTGTTTTTGGTTGGCGCCGGTGCAAAAGTCACAGTGGTTTGTACCACACCTACCTGGGAAGTCGGAGACGACGGCTCACTGTTACTGCTTAAGCTATCCAGGCGTTGTAATAACGCGGCGTCTGATAAGCTTGTCGGTCTTAAACTACTCATGTTATTTTCTTGAATCAACAGATCTCTCTCAATAGACCTTGGTTAGACTTATACTATGCTAGAAGGCGCTAAATTTCATTTGATATTTGACAAATTAACCGTTAGATGAGCTTTATATGTTTATTCGACCGTCCTACAATAATTATTATAATCGGCATATCGAGAAAACCATTGTGATGTGAATAGTTTTAATTTTGGACAGTAGCTTTAATTTAATTTAAATTTATGATTATGTTTCGTTTAAGGTTTTACACTATTGCGTAAACAAACATACAGAAACTTGTATGCGGCTGGAAATAAATTTAAAACTCAGCAAGGCGTTGATAGGTCAATAAACTTTTTGAATTCATGAAGCAATAATTTGGGGAGAGTTATTTGTTTTCACTACCTCAATCTAGAAAAATCAAGCACTCGAAATTTTGCACCTTTGAACAAAAAAATATTTTCTAATGTGCGTAAATATTTATTTTGGATTAACACACTCCATTATTTATACATATATACACATATGTGCAACCAAACTGTGGCAGGAAGTATTTCGAAGCAGCCTGTGGTCATTAGTTGTTTTTGCTGTTATTATTTGCTTATGGAGTTATCTACCGATATCAAGAAGGAATAAACGTACAAACGTATGACTGTATGTAAATATAAACAAAACATATGCACAATTTTAATTTTTTTTTTTTAATTTTTAAAACGAATTCATATTTCACTCAGGTGGTGCTGGCACGAATAAAAAAATAKAATTATTTTCAGATGATGGAAAATTGTACGATGCTTGTTCTAAGTTTCTGTTTTCACATTGCTTCGTCTTAATTTTCAGATAAATATATTTTTTTCGTACGCATTCAAAATACTACAAACCAGAACTGTAGAGACACAAGAGACATGAACAAACCGTAATGCCACAAAGCAAAATAACAACTGCTATTCGGCAACCACAAAATTAAAATTCATTAAGAATATTTATGTTCTGACTGCACGATCAGTCTCTGGGATTGTTGCCACAGATCTTTCTGCAACATGCTCTCCACAGCAAATGTTGACAGCACACTCTTTTTGTTGCCAACCTGCTCCAGTTGGTGTCTGAGCACTGACTCAAACAAGTCGTTGTACTCGTACGTTACAATAACATATTGTATGTTCTTTATAAGAATCAAAGAAATTAAACATTGGAATGCTACGACATTTTTAATTACTCCCCAACAATACCCATTTATTTGAACAAATTTTGCGACAGATATATTACGGCACAGTGTATATGGATATGTTATTCGATCTAGTCACAAGTGTAAAAATTATTCATAGAAGTGAAACATTTCGTCTCTTAGAATTGCGTTCTGGGCAGAGCTTAATGACTTGCAGTCTGGCCGGATTAATATATGGTGGTGATCACAGTATTTCGCTACCTAATTATGCCGGGATGACACACGGCGAAAATGGGTGATGTCATAATAAAGAATATTCCTCTCCTGTCTCCTTTAAATTGGTATAGGAGGAGTAATTTGAGATGATCCCTCTTTACGATGGTCATCTTTGACCGCGTATCCTCAGAGAAGCATTAATAGCGGCACGATTAAACACTTCTACCTTTCTAGTGAAAGTACTCAATAAGCATGAATAAAGCAAATTACTATTATATTACTAGTTATTAAATAACCTTATATTAAGGCCAAATTGCACTTAATGCATGCATGTGTATCACAATACTGACTTACATTTATTTATTGTTTGACGGCAGATTGTAAACTAAGACATGTATATATATGTATATAGTAAGTTCGGGTATAACCGAACAAAACTTTAACACTAACGGGGGCAGTGTCCGAAAACTCGTCATCGATATTTTATCAATATGCACAATTCTACAGGCAGGTACTCATGTAAACCCCAATTCTCTCTGTCAACAGTGACTTGAGAGCCAAGTCGAGAGTGCGACGACTGTTTATTTGATGACAGGAGATATTTCATCTTGCCCTCGTTCACTGCAAGACCATTTGCTTTGCCTGCTTGTTCAGTCTGGAGAAAGCAGTACTAACGCCGAATCGCCTCATCTGAAACGTCGTTTGGTATCGAAAGGCTCGGAGAGGTCCTTCACGATCTTGACGGAGGTTTTGGTGTTGCTCAACGTCAGTTTACACAGCCGTATTAGTTTTTGGGGGAATTCCAAATTCAGACATCGCGGCATAAAGGCAGCTCCTTTTCGTGCTGTCGAAAGCAGCTTTGATATCGACAAAGATGTGGTGTGTGTCGATTCTCCTTTCACGGGTATTTTCCAAGATTTGGCACATGGTGAATATCTGGTCGGTTGTTGATTTTCCAGGTCTAAAGCCACACTGATGAGGTCCAAGGCTTTGTTGTTCTTCATGTGGGAAATTGCTATTCGAACTTCTTTATGGTCGGGCAATGGAACGTCTGCTCCATCGTCATCTTTTGGGAAATCGGGTTCGCCTCCTCCTGGCGTTGTAGGTTCACTGCCATTCTGCAGGCTGGAGAAGTCTTGGGGGTTCAACAAGCGTATGCTCCGGTCTTGAAACCTTCTGTGGGCCGCCGCATTTTTATACCCTGAACAGGGTATATTAAGTTTGTCACGAAGTTTGTAACACCCAGAAAGAAGCGGCGGAGACCCTATAAAGTATATATTGTAACGACTGTAACCGGATGCACGGATGCTATAACTATTAATACTTTACAATGTTATTCGTTAGTTATGTTAATTATTAAAAGCTCGACAATGTTAGAAGCTACATTATGTTARGTTTACATTTTTGATCATTTTAAATTCACCACAGTTGTACTCAATGTTTGAATACTTATAACTGTGATCCTTTTATATTAACTTTGCTCAATTTGACTATTTAAGTAACTTACTCATTGTGTGAATGCGTTAACTGTAATCCTCATATTTCACGTAGCTCAATTTGGATATTTAAGTACTCTGTTAATTTGAATTCAGAGTGATGAGAGGACACAAGTAGACAGCATTGGCTCTTGTGGCTAGTTTTATTGATCAAAGTCAAGTAGAATCACCTTAGGGATTAACTACTTCCCTACAATTGGCGCCCAACTAAAATCAAATAAAATTTGCTTAAAATCAAAATAAAATTCAGACGCTTGAAGACAAATTTTGGCTCTTGCGGCTAATTATAAACGCAGAAACGAAAATAAAATAACAATAAACCAAAAATTCTTCAACAAAAAATGTTCAGCTGTGCAATACTGTGGGTTTCGTTTTGTTGAGAAGATCACCTGATTCGTATGTTAAATTGTTGCTGCATTGTTATCCCTCGAAAGTGCATAGAAAACATTAGCTTTAAAACTAGGCTTGACTGTACTACGTTGTTAGTGTTATTACTTTACCAAACTACCGTTGCATACTTTTCGGCTTAAGTGCATTGCTGCTATATTTTCCTTTCTTTTGCGTACTGTTACTGATCCTGTTAATAAATCGAACAATATCCACCTCAACAAGTGCATAAGAAAAGTGATTTCGATTAGCACAAAGGTTTGATTATTTTAATGAGTAGAGAGTTTAGTAAATGTAGCGTGCGTTTTAATGGTGGGAGGAATACCAGCAAAATTGAAGATTTTATAGCTACCGTCCTAGTATACAAAGATGCAGAAAATATCACGGATGAACGCGCTTTGCTGAGTTTGCCTCTATTGCTAGAAGTTTATGCGTCTTCGTGGTGGCAGGGCGTAAAACAGCGGAAACGTTCAACGACGCCATTGCTTTGCTTCGAAAGGCATTTTCTCCCCCGAAACCAGACTGGCGTATTTTTTCCGATCTAAATCAAGAAAAGCGGAAATTTGCTGAATCAACTGATTCGTTTATATGCAAGAAGCGACAGTCATTTGCGCAACTTTCCGAAAAACTTAGCGAAAAAACTATGATCGATATCATTTTTTCGCAATTGCTATTAAAAATACGAGGAAAGGTGCCTCGTGAAAGCGTAAGAACTTTTAACGAGTTGCTAGACAAAGCACGGGAGGCAGAATTATTATTGGTTGAAAACAAAGAAATAGATACCAGGAAAATTAGCGAAGCAACAGATAAAATTCCTACTCGTTGTTCTTACTACATGAAGAAGAATCATTCCGCAGAAAATTGTTTTAAAAAAATTTAAGCAGAGAAAAGAACAACCCAGAAAATGAAAGAAACCGTCTCTAGCTGTTATAGTTGCGGTACACCAGGTTACTACAGGTCAAACTGCCCAAATTGCAACAAGAAAAACCCACTACGTAGTCGCGAACAGCTCGACTTCAACACAATTGTAACCACTGTAAAAGGTACAAAGTGAAGTTGAGGTGAAGTAGACGTGTTTCTTTTTTGTGTTCTTCAAATCCCTAAATTCTCTTGTTTATTGGGGAAAAGATAGTTTTTTTTTTTGTGGGGGACATCCAGAGAGGCTGAACCACCTAAGTGGACATCAGGCCTAATAAAAAAAGATAAGTACACTTTTGATTTTTAATAACATATAATCACTTGCTTACCTTTTGTGTTTTCCCGCGCTAAATCGTAAAAAATAAATACAATTGTTTCCCCTTACAGGGGCGTGCACTTAATTTTGTACTTCATTATTCTGCCGTTTGTTTTCCTTATTTTGGGATAAATCAGCTGTTCCCCTTCTCGTGTTTTCGTTTTTCTTTTGGTTGGTGCATTGCCAACAAAGTATCAACTGTTCCCTTTATTTTTTTTGGTTTTTGGCATTGCCAACGATTTTAGTTTTAAGTTAGACAGCAAAGCTAGGTACTGAACGTACACTTCGAAGGGTGTTACCAAACTATTTTCTCGCTGAGGTATGGCCTCCGAAAATAGTATTGGGCGAACACCGGATAAGCCTTTCCGAAGGATTTCTAAAATAACGAGAACACCGCCTAATGGTAAAAATGAGGAACCCACCGCTGCTGGACCGAATAAAAAATGTGATACTGTCGCTGAAGTAAGCAAGGAGAGTAAGCCTGAGGAATTGCAAAATGGAGAAACGACCAGCATATTTAGCCATCTGGGCAAAAAAATTAAAGAACTGGAGAGCATGATGGCGGGCCAAAGGCACATTAACCAAACCATGCACGAACTTATGAGCAGTATAGTGACCTTATACGCAAAATCTGAAAAAATAGAAAATCCATCGAGAAGAGTGATTATAGGAAAATCATTTCGAGTCACTATTGGTAGAGATGATAATACCCCAAAAAGAATGCGAGAGACATCAGGCTTTTTACCACCCACCAAATAGCTAAAAAAAAGTAGCTGAAAAGGAGCAATTATCCTATAGTGGAGCAGCAAAAAACACCCAAAAGGATACTACGACTCAAAACGCAAATGAATGATGGGTAAAAAAGAAGAAACCGAGGGAAAAGAAAATTAAAACAAAACCGGATGTCATCATTATCACGAAGAAAGAAGGGCGTCGTATGCAGATATTCTGCGAAAAATAAAAAGTGACAGCGGGCTTGAGGAGTTGGTTTCAAAAGTAACCTATGTTCGGAAAACACTCAAAGGAGACATGCTTTTAGAGCTGAAAAGTGGAGCAGACACGAAAGCCGAATATTTCCAAAGCGCCTTGGAAGGAGTGGTAGGAGAAATGGCTATGATACAGCCCAAATCCCACACCGTTACGATAGTATGCAAAGACCTGGACGAAATAACAACTCCCGAAGAAATCTGCTCAGCACTAAAAAGGGAGAGTGGAATCCAAAATCTAGAGACAACAAATGTCAATAGTCTGCGAAAAACGCGTAGTGGCGCACAAATAGCACTTGTATGCATGCGCGCTCAAGATGCTAAGGCCGCACTCAAATTGGGAAAAATTAAGATTGGGTGGTCGATCTGCCGTCTTCGAGAATACTCGCCTATTCCCAGGTGTTATAAGTGTTTCCATTTGGGTCACATGGCTCGT